AGTGGTTGGGGGATATTTGCACACCTGCGCCGCTACGTCTCAACTCAACCAAGAAAGCGTAATTACGCATAGAGTCATCACGCTCTTTTGCCCGAACGTCTTGCGGACGCCGCCATTTTGTTAGAGCGGGCAGAAGTGACGTCAGTGGCGCGATTCGAAACTGATTTCTTGAGTTTCGAACACGGGGAAGTTCAGGCGATGTCGTTTTGCTCTGACGAGGACTGAAGGACGGAAAGCGTCTATGAGCAGTTCCGTAATACGCCTGTTACACGGGCACACTTAACCGCGGTTAACTCAGCTTAAAGGAGCAATGCAACAATTTTTGTACTTTGCGCAAATACCGCTTAAAACGGATCCCTAACGTTAATGACCTATGAAACACGCGTTCGTTTTTCACCCCACGCAATAGAAGTCCCAGAAAAAAATTAAAGAAAAACGAGCAGCGTTCACTCCCTCAACTCGCAGCCAGAACAAGCGGCCACGTGATCTGGAGCCGATTATATGCCACCAATGTTCATCATAGCCACGCGCTGGGGTTGGCACAGCACAGGACACGCGCTGAGTTCCAGACATTGTTATGGCTCGGCTGTTGTCGTCGTTGCAGCGATTGGACACGGGTCACAACCCGAATGCTTCTCGAGCTAGCAATTGTCACGAGCCCAAGTCGAGTGCCCACGCAATACTCGGGTCCAATCTATGAACCGCATTCAAATATCGTCACTTGGGTGTACTGCGATCCCCGAGTTACGTCACCAAATTTTGCAAAGGAGAGATTGAATGAAAATGATCGCTTTTGTCCTTGAAATTACACCGCAACAAAGGAGTTTCTTGGCCAATGGAGTTGCGTGTGAGTATCCTTGAGTCCCAGGTGTGCCAGTAAGCTCGTGTAGAGAAAAAAACATTCCAATTGAATATCGTTGCACAGCTCCTTTAACTGCTGCTGCGCGGCACCGCAGATACCGCACTATACTCTCGGACAGCTATTGCATAAGATGTGAAGAGCGCGCGTGCACTGCTTCGATGGATGCTCAAGATGCTCGAGCGCACATTCGCCCATAGCTTTGACTGCATAGCCGCAGAATGTCGTCGGCAAGTATTGTGCGCTAACTGTGGCTTAGCTTAACTGCAGTTAAGTGTGCCCGTGTAACAAGGGTATAACTGAGCTAATCTAATAACGTTGGTTCCAGGCATCATAGTTACCGTGGCTGTACAACATGCATCGCGACGCGGGGCTACTCGCTGTCAAGTGGTCAGGTGGTTTGGTTCAACCGTAGTCTCGGATGTAGTGCGCTTTGTTCGGGGGCGTCGCACGTTGGGACAAGAAAGAAAATGTATTCACTCGCGAAGAAAGTGCGAGCGGCGTGACAATTTTATGACGCTTCACCGAACGGCAGCTGCGCGCGCGCCCGCGCGTGCGCTTCGTTGTTTTGGGGGGGAGGATCGTTGGTACTCCGCTTATTGCCACTCCGTTTATAGACAGCCACATTGCGCTTATTGTGAAACGAAAAAAAAAAGAAAGGAAGAAAATTTATTCTTTCACACTCTGCAGCGTATTTATGCAGCAATCTTTATGCAGTAATTTTTCGATTTGCGGGCAAAACCGAAATGGTGCCCCTCGGGGATGATGATGATAGCGTTTGTACCCAACTATAAACTATTCGCTGGACTGAGGTCCAGCGAACTCGGAGCGCACACTAGTTGGGTACAAACGTTATCATCATCGTGGCGTCCTTTAACCATCACCGTCGACATTGTCAGTATGAAATTGCGCTTCTGTCGTTGGAAGCAATTAATCCCACTAAAGGCGCCGTGGTGGGCCAGTTGTGGAAGGCCGATTGCGTTATTTTGTTCTCTGGTCGTAAGGGCTGCGGTCACCAGCGGCTCCAACCAATACCACCTAGTGGCCAAGGCCTTTCCCGCCACACGTCATCACTAGTGTATCCACGCAGCGAGCTTGCGTCAGCGTCGTCGACCGGGCGTCTTGCGGCGTCTCACAAGCACGCCAAGGCAGACGGATCGGAGGGTCACTAATGATGACGTCATGCGTAGGCCTTGTCTTCCAGGTGGCCTTTGACCTCGCACAGATCGAGGGGCTGTCGAAGGTAATGTTGGCCGGTGGTTGGTGTTCGTCCCAAAACGCACGTGAAGAAAAAAAAAAAAAAGGAAAAACGAATAACATCAGTTCGGTTTGATGTTTGAAGAAAATGGCCAACGTTCGGGAAGACGTGGTCTTCCCGAACGCCGGCTCACCCCTCAGCTGACTTTGAGGTGGGAGCTAGGAGCTCGGCGGGCCAATCAACCGTCTCCCTCTCATTATCGGACCCCGTGCCTGTCTGTGTACGGGGCGAAAGCGTGATCCCGTGGCGAAAGATCGACTGGTCGAACGAGCACGTACTGTCCGATTATGGGTGAGCGGAGGCTCGAAGCCGCATGGCACAAAGGCCGTCGCGGGCACCGCGGCGAATCGCATGGAAAGACCGGAATCCACGTCTTGCGGAAGCTGTAGGGGGGTTTCGGTGGCTTGTTTGGATGAGGGCTAAAAAGAAAAAGGATTTTGTGTTGTATAACTGGGCACCATCACGAGCCCCGCGTAGGGGTATGCGGTGTGGAGAACTGAAGCGTCTCCGGTTCTTCAGGATGTGCAACGCGGACACACGAACCACGCGGAAGTTGTTTGATCTCGTGGATCGCCGCGTGGAAGAAAACGGAACTTTGCGGACCGTAGTGAGCCGATGCGGATTCGTTGTGGACGGATGCGAGGAAAAGAAAATTGCATAAGTAAATGTATGTATAAAAAAAAAAAAAAAAAGGCAAGCGCGATAACAACAATGATTTAGCGGACCGGGGATGTACGAGAACGAAGAATACTGACGTACGAGTAAACGAACGGGGGTGATGACTTTCTGGATTTTGCTCTTTTTGCATCGTTCTCGTTCCCGGTGGGCTTGCAACGGAAATAACAAAAAAAAACGTGCTCCGTTCTTTTTTTTTTTTTTTTTTTTAATTTTAGCTGGAGCCTGGAGCACAGTGAATGAAGTTTGGAGCCTCGGACATTACTAAATCCGATCCTGCGTAGTGTCGTCGTATAGCAGCCTCCAACAAAGCCCTTTGCGTGCTCTGGGCAGGCGAAATATCAGACGCCACGCATGCGTGAACAGCCCAGTGACTTGGCGTTTTTCGCCTGTGTGATAAGCGAAGGAAAGCGTAGGACTCCTCAAATGTCTAGTCTTCTCACGATGGGCCAAGGCTCGAAGCGCGTGAGGAAAGTGGCTCGGGAAACAGGACACAGAGAACGCTCTGGTTGAAACAGTTGACTGTCAGTGGAGGCCACCAGATTTAGGAGCATTTTCTCTTACATGCAGGTGGAAAGTAATTGTGTTATGTGTATACTCATACAGCCGGAAGTTACTCATCCCCAATGGTCGTCTGGTGTTTCAGCTGTAGATGAGAAATTTAGCTAGTGCAGTACAACCGCTGGCCTGCTTGGGTCTTTGACGTGCACCACGCAGGAATGATACACGACCTCACGAAAGTGCGATGCTTATCCAGATCGAAACGAGCAGGGGTGTGGATTGAACCTGCAGGATTCCTGGGTCCCCATGCGAGTAGGTATGCAGAAAGTGACAAGGCAACGTGCTTGTCTCTTTCTGTCAGCTGTTCGAGGGATAATAGATGTATATACTGCACCAGCGCTTACGCTCCGAGTCTTACTGGCGGCGAGGTGTTACACTGGCGCCCTCTTAGGGTTCTATACCCACCGTGACGTCATAAGAATTTGCATCAATACATGGCTTGCGCGGAACGTCATCTTTGCACGCTGGCGGTCATCGAACAAAGGCGGTAATGCGTAGCGTATGCTGCAGAAGCTGCGCTCTCAGCAACAAGGACATCACAACGCATGGCTGCTATTGGGATTTCAATGCAAGCCTACGTGTACGGTTGTAATCATGATGACTCAGCCCATGCTACAAGCGCGAGCTTATAACACCGGCTGCTTGTCCCTGCCAAGCAAGCGCGCTCGTGCAGTGCAAGCTCTGTCCTGGGCACGGTGGTCCTGGGCCACATGCTCGCGCTTGCATCGCTGCGTCTATTAGCGGCGAGATGTTTTGGTGGCGCCCTCCTATGGTTCCCCCTTGTTACGTCATTACCTTGCTAACAACAAGTTCGATGGTGTTCGTAAATAGCACGGTGGAAGCTTGAAATCATTGAGGTCTTAAAGCAACACTGCCAACACCGTCAAGATTAAAGTTCTTTCATTCCTCTTATTTCCGTCGATGATAAATCCCCTTTCCTACGTCATAGTCAGCGTTCGGCCAATCGTGGAAGGCCGACCACAGCGACGCTTTCGGTCGCGCACGGGGCTAATAGACCACCGTGGTCTAGACTTAAGCTGCAACGAAGCAGTTGCGAGCGACAAGTTCATTGGTGCATCCAAAGAGCACAGCCGAAACTGGTGGTCACAATGCGTTCAACGGCAACGCCGTCAACGTTAACGTTGTGGCAAGAATGCGCGTGCACACCTTTGATCTGTGCTCGAAGTGCGGCCCGTAGGTTTGGCTTCGCATTGTACCGGAGTGCGGTCGTGTATCGATACTGCGTGATGCACGTTAAAGAGCCGAGGCCACGGTGGCCGAGGCTAAAGGTTGTACTGCACTGACTAAATTGCTCATCTACAGCTGAGACACAATTCGCCCGTTGGGGCAGACTAAGTTCCGGCTGCATGAACATACCCACAACCTTTTTTTTTCTTCTTTTAGCTTTGGCTTCAATATTGCGAGCTCCTGACGAAAATGCAGCTACCAGCGCTCTTTTTTTGCCACTCTAACGCAGCGGTTATCAAAGCGAGAGACAAAACCTGGGGAGGGAATGCTTGCTCTTGCAATCACGTTCACTCTTCGCATAATCAGTGAACTGTTATGACAGTGGCGACGTTTATTTGGAGTCAGAGGCCCCTAATTTTCTTTTTGGCCTTGGCGTTTCGGTGAGCTACAGCTGCCGACTTAGCAGGCCTGCTTGTTGACGCACGCGACCTTCTCGATGTTCTCTTGCTGCTTCTCGGCCTTCTCGACGCTCTCCTCGGCGTTGCCCACCTCCTCAACGTTCCTCTTGAGCGTGCTCCCGCTGGTGCTCGTCTTGGTGGCCTCGTTTTCCCTCCGCGTCTGGACCCTCTTGGCGACCGCGGTCTCCATCAGGTTGCGCTTCTTGATGACCTGTCCCTTGGCGAGCAACTTCTGCATGTACGCGCCGTCGTAGGCGTTGGTCTCCTGCAGTGCCTCCTTGAGGGCCTGGCTCTCGGCGAGCTTTCGCACCTCGCTGCCCTCGAGCTTGTGCTGGTACACCTGGGAAGGAAGCGTGCAGAGATTGCGGCCATGGGTTAGGGTTGAGGGCGACGAAGACCCTGATGTCACGTGTCACAGGGGGGAGAGGAGTAGACGAGGGAGTGCGGAGACGTCAGGGCGCCGGGCTCTGCTTGGAAGGATTAGTGGGTAAACAAGGTGTTGGACAAAATGCTCGACAAAAGTATTTTAGTTAAGTTACTAAATACCTGCTTCATAAAGTATTTAAAATACTACTCTAGTTGCTTTCACTGTAAAGTATCTTGAGTAGAGTACAAATACTTAGAAATGTAATTCAATTACCTTGAAGATGCTTCCGCATTGCGTAATTTGTATCGACGTCAGTGACAACGGCAATTATACCGTTGCGCAAATCTGGTTTACCATAATGCTTTATTAGCACGCAACACAAAACGGCAAAAAACAAAAAAAAAAACAAAAAAAAAAACATCGTAGGGCTATTTTATGCACCAAGCAAAACAAAAGTGTATTTTTTTTTTTGCGTGTGTGTGTCCACTTCTCTTTTTTTTTTTCTTTTTGTTATTTTCTTGACACTCAAGTCTGGCTTGTTGTTCAAAGTCGTGTCCCGGTCTGCGTTGCGCCTCAGTGTGGCAATCTTTACTTTCATAAAAATCAGCCCCTATGTTTGAGGATTTTTTGGGGGGAAACTCTAGGAAACAAAAGGCGCCTTTGGGAAGGCGAGCAGTAAGCCTTCATTGTACGAACCTCGGACTGAAATATGATTCACACAATCGGCAAAAAAGCGGTGTTTTCACGAGCTCAATCTAAGTCACCGTAGCTTATCGGAGCTAGCAACAGGATTTGGTTGCTCGAAAGAATGTTCACGTTTGCTCGTACCACGCCCACGCCACTTCCTACCCAAAAACTCGGAAAATGGCGGAATGTCAAACATGTATTTAAGATAATGGGTACAAGAAACTCGGAAATGTAATTAAAATACAGTATCAAAGACTGCAGTATCAAAAGTATTTGCAAGATACCAAGATACTTCTAAAAGTATTTCAAATACAGTATCTTGAGTAGGGTATTTGAGATAGGCACAAGTCTGGGTAAACATGAAGCCACCTGCCTTTGTCTCCATTCCACTCGTCGAACGCGGAACGCCGGCGTCTGGCTCTCGCATTCGAACGAGTGGAGTGGAGATAAAGGCAGCTAGCTTCATGTCTACCCACTAATCCTTCCAAGCAGAGCCCGGCGTTCTGACATCCCGGATGGATGGATGGATGGATGGATGGTAATGGCTATACCCTTTCTAACGGGCGGCAGCTTGCGCCACCTAGCCTAACCCCCCCCCCCCCCCCCCCTCGTCTCCTCCACTCCCTCATTTTCTCGGCGCATTTCTACTTTTTACTGAGAAAGAAACAAAGGGGTGAGGCGAAATTATGCTGCAGAAGGTCACCAGCAAGGTCCTCCATAATGGCCCTCGATGGGACGTCAGTGCGAACCAAGCGTAGACGTCAGTAGGACATTCGTGAGACGACCTCTCGAGGACGTCTTTAGAACCACGCGTGTCCCGTCTCTCGGGGCGCTCACCTTGTCGTTGTCGATGTTCTCCTCGTCCAACATCTTGCGGACGTCCATCGTGACGCTGCTGGACTCGTCCCGGTCGAACTGGCGGTCGGCGGGCCCTCCGGGCAGGAGCTGCCCGGTCCGACCCGCGGTGCACACCTTGGTCAGCATGGGCTCGTAGTTGGCCAGCATGGGCTGGGCGATGGACTGCGGCTCGATGACCTTGAGCTCGGCGCCGTGCTGGATGCATTCGGCGGCCAGGTCCGGATTTTCGTCCACGAGCTCGGCCTTGGAGGTGGCCCTGGTCAGGGTCGTCGTGGTGACGTTCACCTCGGTCGTCGACGTCGTCATGGCTGGATGCTGGGCGGGCGGTGGGGCGACGAGGGCTGCTGATGGTCGTTCGACGGAGGTCCCCCGGGGGCTCGAGTTCGCTCTGCTCCGAACCCGATCGCCGACTGTGAGCACAAGCGGGGCTGGAGCGCGGGCCGGGGTTCGTTGCTGGTGGCGGGCGCCGGCAGAGCGTGCTCCGGAGCGGGCCTCGTCGTCGTCGTCGTCTGTTCCGCCGGTTGTCGGCGGAGACGAGACCAGTTTATGAGGAATTGAATTCTTACTGAAGCTATATATTTTCTATCTCACAAATGTCTGCAGTAAAGTCAAAGGCACGCAGAATGCTTTTGTTTGTACGAGAGCTCGTGCATGTATGAGGCACTTTTCCCACAGCCACGCACTCGTGCCCATGGCTTTGTCTGTACTGCAGAAGTTTGCGAAATGTCTGCAACGGTTGCGTTCGCTTGCGACCGAAACGACCGTAACGTCCAAAACATCGCGACAACCGTGACTCGTGGATCGCTTTGCGAAGCTACCCCTTACATCGCTTGTCATGCTGTGTACAGCGAACACTTGTCCCGGTAACTTCGTCGTTATGGTCGTTTCGGTTTCATGCGAAAGCAACCAGCGCAGATGTGTAAACCATCCTTACGTCTGAGTGAATCTTCGAAAGTGAAGCGTGGGACAGTCGAACAAAGTTGGCCGGCTGCCAAGCACTTGCGCCGCGAGCTCCGCAGGCCACACCACAAAAAGGTGGCCAAGAGTGAGAAAGAGCTTTGACGGGGTTTAAGAAGACTTCGCCCGTTGCAAAACCTTCCTAAACAAAATGTGTACGTATTTAGATAAATTTAAATAAAGTAACGGTACAAAAGGGGGACATAGACACCGCGTTTCGTGCCTGGAAGGCTGGGACTGCAGCATGGTGTAAGATATTCTTACGATGGAGTTAGCGTCCTCCGCGTTGATCTTACGCGTAAGATGGTTTGATCGATAGATTGAGACAGACACGTAGCCAGGGGGGAGGCCCATGAGGCCCGGGCCCCCCTCGAAATCTTCCATTTTGCTGTTTTACCTCGGTATCGTTCCTGGATCGTGTTTTCACCATGTCTTCCTTTATGGTGCCCTCGATTTCCGCCTGATGACGTTACAGAAGTGTCTCATTCCGTTGCCTGCTGTGATCCTGCCAGTGGCGCGTACAGCAGCAGCGGTTGAATGCGGCAGATGCCTGTTCTGCTGTTGGTCTCCCTCCCACTTTACAGTTCACGGACGCTTTAGCATTGAGGAGTTGAGACGTTGCAATAACTAATAACGCTTTCCGTTTGTTTTTTTTTTTGTCGATTTTGTACGATTAGTTGCTAGAGGCGCGACATCTGACAGCGTGATTTGCTGGCTCCTGTGACGTCATTTGTTTCCGCTTCGCAACGTTGCCACTAACGTTCGTTGCCCACTTTGGGACCACTCGTGCCCGACGTCATCGTATCGCTGGGGGTCATTCCACCTTGTTCTTGCCGCGTGAAATTAATTTAATGGCGAGAAATGTGCGTCGCGAAAGGTATACGCTCTCAGTGGCGAGGCCAGCACACAATGGCTGTTTTCCAAAATTTGCTCGATCCGACTTCGGAGTAAAGGTTTCGTACCGCGGCGCTTGAAAACTTGCTCGCGCTTACTCGTTGACGTCAGAACTCGCGTTCCAGAAACGGGTTGTTTACTCCGGAGTAATTACTTACGCTACCCTTCTCCGATCGGTGGCTAACTTCGGAAGTTGGGAAGCTCACCCTTGAAAGCCAAACCGCTCGCGTCCACCGAGACCAAACTAAATACGGTAACAGCGCCACCCTTTAGCGACCAGTCAAAACATGAAAGTTCATTTATATTGCTACTGCGAAATGGCAATGCAAGATGGCGCTACCGGCCCTTGCGCGACTCGACCTGAACCGATACGGGCAGACGTGCAGTTCCCGGGATGACCGCTGCGGGAGAAATGGCGGCGTCGCGATCGCCATTAGTTCGGTTTTCGAGTACGGATCGAAGCCACTTTTTCAAAGCAAGCACTATGGCCGTACGCAGTAGTAGCCTGTCACTCAAAATGCGTGCTTCGACAGCACTGTGCTTGACTGTGTTGAGAGGACGCGAGTCCCTCCTCGCCTCCTCTCCAGCGATCGCTCTGCTAAAGTGAGAAGAATGAAGGACTTCGCTGGAGAAGCTTGCCCTCCGGCGCGTTGATTGGCTCTCTGGAAGCGTAGCTTTCGCCGTCTGCCAAGTTGCGATGAGACGGTGCTCCAGTGAGCTTTGTCTTTCTCTCTCGTTTTCCTTCTTTCAGCCCTTCTTTCTGCTTCTCATCACTGAACGACTCGGAGAAGCCGCGTAGAAGAAAAGGAAGGCGAGAGCGTGAAGTGAAAGTAACGAAGGCGGAAGTGGCGGCTTCCCCTCGGGACCTCCCCGTGCTCTAAAACGAGCCGTTTGTAGGACGTTCGGAGAACAGGGCCGGAAGGGAGGGGAACGGGGGGCTTGACGCTTGGGCGGCTTTTTCGTTGCGGAACAAAGCGACGACGAGGACGAGTTCGGCCGCCGGTGTGCCACACACCACTGGTGCGGCGGCGTTTCTTCTGAAGAAGCGGCGACTGCGCCGACGATGACGCAATTAACGGCATCTCCCCCCTCCTCTCAAGAGTCGTCCTTTGGGGCTCCTGTGGTTGGTTCGTTGACCTTTCCGGAGAAGCTTCGCCGTCTTGGCCGGGATCTAAGCGCGAGTCGACGTTTTACTGTGTGCGGAGGGCTAGGGGCAGGTGTGGCCCTCGCTTTACTTCTTCTCCGAGCTGCCTGCCGAGCGCGGTCCCGCACTTTATTCCTCGTTCGTCCCTATCACCGCTATGGTGTACCTTCTGCAAGTAAAGCCCCTTGATAAAAGCGTTTTTTACAAGTACCGCCAACCATTGTTGTGGAAGCGCGCGAGACGCGTGCCATGAGCGGGAGCTCCGCCGCCATTCGCTTCCAAGGCCCGCTCATTTCAGTGCTGCGCCGCCATTTGCTTCCAAGGGCCGCTCGAGACATGGGCCTCGTGCACTCGCGCATTTGACGCTACTTGCAAGACAAACGCAAACACATCGAGGGGCTTTATCTGCAAGCTGGCAGCAGCGCCACAATGGCAAAGACTAGTTAATAGGCTCGCGCCAGCTTGCAGTGGCTGCTACATCAATCGTCCGAGTCGACCAGTGCTCGATCACCTACTCTGAGCATTTATTGAACGCAAGGGCTGCGTCAGCATTCGGCACGCACTCGGCTCGGCTCCGCGTCAGCGTTCGGCGCGCACTCGGCTCGGTTGCTGCGTCAGCGGTCGGCGAGGATTCGGATCCAATCACGTGCCTCGTGTCCAAGAAACGGCGACTGCCCCACCCGTTTCGGTCTGGATGAGCATCGATCGTACCGGCGTGCGGTCGTGTATCACTACTGCGTGGTGCACGTTAAAGACCCCAGGCTAGCGGTTGTACCGCACTGGCTAAATTGCTCATCTACAGCTGGGAGACTCGTCGCAACTTTAATGGCTGACCAACTACACGGTGTATAAATATCCCCATAACCCAATTTGCTATTTTTTGCTCCTCGATGAACTTTCGAAAAGGGATTGGGTTCTACATAAAACAAAAATACCAATTTTTTTTCTTCTAAATTTAAGGGGAGTGGTTGTTATGGGGTGCTTTTGTCTCGGATGCCCAAGAACACCTTGAAGTGTTTATACCGTCGGATGCTGGTGAGAGTTGAAGGCTTCTTGCTTCTTCTTGTGGCGGACGGTACCGCCGAATTCACAAACCTCACTCCAATTGAGGCGCCCCTCCACTTCCTCAAGGAAGGCGCGAGGGCTGGCGCTGGGGTCAATCGCGACGACGAATAGGCGACCTAGGCTGCTTATCCGTCGTCGCGTACGGGTGACTTATTCAGTGGATGTAAAGGCTTGTTTGCTCAGGCCCGTTTTCTTACGTTACGTTACGAAAGCTTACGCTACAAGTCACCTCGGGGGACGTCTGCGCTTGCTTTAAGCGTGGCCACCGGTTCGAGGAGATTGCCTGGCACGCGACATTCGGAGACACGAACGTTTCAAGTGCTACCATAGCCTCCTTGTGGTGCTACTATAAGGGTGCCATTAACACGAATGTGGAGAGTTGGCTATCGAGTTCGTTGACCTCTGTAGCTTCGTCGTCGTCAACGCGTCGTCTCGGCGCCAAGTCGTGTAAAGTCGGGGCACGTGACGTGTCGTGCGTCGCTTTTTGACCCTAGCCGAGCCAAGACGAGCCAAGCACGAGGTCGCGTCTCCGGGATCGGCCAGTGGCCCTCGAGCGATTTTGAATGGAGGTCCCTTGTCTGGTCCGAGTTGCAATGCATCGTCGTTGTGAGGGCGGAGAGACGGTGCGCAGAACCGCAGCCACCCCTCTCTTGAGAAATCGCGCCTCGCATCCGCCTGTCACAAGTCGTATACGTCGCGTGACCCCTTGGGCTGTGCACGCGCGCCCGAAGCGAGGGTTGGATTCTTTATTTGTTTACCCGTGTCCGAAGCAACTGCGCCTTCTCAAAACGAGACATACGAAACGGGAATTCTCCCCCTCCCCTCGTTTTTGTTAGTTTTCGTCTGTTTCAGTTGCAACGCGATGTCTGGCCATCTCGTACCCGGATTGAAGCGCGCACTGTAGTCGGTGAGAGGTTAAGAAGACAGATGGATGTTTTGATAATACTTCGTCGTCGTACGCGCAGCGAAAGTTTGGTGGAGGGCGACGAGGGGGTGTAGGGGGCTTATCGAAGATCGAAATATTGGCTCCGCGATCTTCACGGAGCATACGTTTAAAGTCTTGTACCCATCTACTGCGAACTGCTCCTATGTCTCCGATGAAAGAAGGCTTAATACTTCTCCAAGGAGAATGACCCCTTTTTTAGAGAGCGAATATGTGTGTGTGTGTCTGTGTGAAGGGGGCGGGGGGGGGGGGGGGGTTGCGTGGTTGTTTTGTTCCAGAAAATGTACAAAATATAAGGCGAGGAAACGGCGTGAACACCTTAAAAAGAAGAAAGAACTCGGGTAAGCTGAGTGAGGCCCGTAAAATATACAAAAAAGAAAAACGTTAAAAAAATTGTTATTTTCTTCGCTTGTCTCGATTCGCGGGCATTGGGACGTGTAAGTGTGGAGGCGGGTGCGCTCAAGCAAACAACGTGCACCTTCTCT